TTAGCTGCTAACTTCAATATTACTAAAACCAAATAGTTTTGTCTAAGTAAGCCTTTCGTGTGAGAAATTACGTAATATGCCCAAACACAGATAAAAATCCATAAGAAAGATGCAATAATACAAGCACATCTTCTTCTAGTTTATAATTTTAGATGCAATAATACAAGCACATCTTTTCTAGTTTATAATTTTTTACTGGCAAAAATGTTATTGGTTGGCTATTGTAGTGACTTGAACCCCTGAACTTACCTCTAGAATTAAGATTTTGGATGTTAGTTTATACCAGTTTGGCTAACAAACTCCTTTACATAAGATCCTCTTTAATCCACAAACATGTGGATTCACACAATTACAATGATATGCAGAGTGTTAAAAATTGATGTTTGCTGATAGAGTGTGAGAGAGTTACAGGATTGATTGCACAATCTGTTTGTAGATATTCCCTGTGCATCCCTCCAAGGCCCAGGTCACTGCTTTTACGATCAACACAACATACAAGGAAAAAAGGGCAGGAAAAGAAACAGCATTAGCCGTCTATGATGAACCTCCATATCAGCAAGTTTATAATAGTCAACAAAGTTCCATTTATATTGAGCATAACCATAAAATGACTACTGAGAATAGAAAGGGTGATAGAATTAGAAATGGAAGAACGACTTCAATATGCTGGAAAAAAGTCAATACCTTACAATTCCAGCTGTGACAGTATTTTGAAGGGAAAGTGGGCAGCCCAAGCATGGTACCCAGTCCCCAGGGCGAAGCTTGCTTGAAGAACCAAGTTTTGCAGCTGGGAGTGGAGTTTTAGATTTAATCTTTACAATAGCAATATCGGAATGCAAATCAGCACTCACTACCGTACCCTCAAATGTTCTACCGTCTTGTAAAGTCACACCAACCTGTATACATTAACCATGTGTCAAAGCCACGAAGAGGTTTTCAAAGCTGTGAAGGGTAATTCTCATAAATAATCTAATAGTATTTAAATGGTTTCTCACAAATGAAGTTTTCAAAGATCGTTAACTAAAAATAGAAATTAATTGGCTAGGTGTAACCAGACATGCTACAGCATGTTGAATGTCATCTAACAATAGCTTTCCACTAGCATGCCCTTCTTTTTTAATACAACAGAGCTAAACAAGGATAGATGAGGATGCAAAACCAAGCAAAATAATTCTGAAATTGACTAGAGTTTGCATCAATGCAATGTCAGCAACATGCCATTCTAAGAGAATTTTCTCAAGATTTGCATAAGCTTAGAGTTTAGATATGACAATATTCGCATGGCAGATACTTCTAAGTGAAAAGTAGAAATGCACCATTAAGGACAGTGTTCAAATGACCATTTAGACCTTGACATTCCAATGGACAAGTAACCACTGACCTTCGCCTTAGAAGAAGGGCGCATGCCCTGAAAATCAGCCACAACATGAGCACACGTTAAAATAGTGCCATC